TAAGCCTTCACCTGCAGTGCCAGCATCCCATATGGACACCGGTTTGAGTCCCAGCTGTTCCACTTCTGATCCAGCTCCCTGTCATTGCACTGGAGAAAGCAGCAGAAGATATACTGAATCCTTGGGCCCCTGTACCCACATAGGAGACCTGGAAGAAGCTCCTAGCTCCTGGCTTCAGATCAGCCCAGCTCTGGCCACTGGAGCCATTTGGGGAGTGAACCAGCAGATGAAAGATATCTCTCTCTCTCTCTCTCTCTCTCTAACTCTGCCTCTAAATAAATAAATATTTAAAAAATTCAAATATCCCTAAACATTTTTTCTTAGTTATGCAACAATGGGGAAATAGGTATCCATTAATCTAGTGTTCAGTAAAATAGAATTCTATCAAAGACATTGCTTTCTGAAAGCCATAATAGTGCAAAACTGCACTTTGACGAGGAGGCGGCCATATTGTCTAGGAAGCAAGGCCTGTAGTAGAGAAGAAACATATCCAAAATCTACTCCCGAGCCGGCGCCGTGGCTCAATAGGCTAATCCTCCACCTTGCGGCGCCGGCACACCGGGTTCTAGACCCGGTGGGGGCGCCGGATTCTGTCCCGGTCGCCCCTCTTCCAGGCCAGCTCTCTGCTATGGCCAGGGAGTGCAGTGGAGGATGGCCCAGGTGCTTGGGCCCTGCACCCCATGGGAGACCAGGAAAAGCACCTGGCTCCTGGCTCCTGCCAGGATCAGCGCGGTGCGCCGGCTGCAGCGGCGGCCATTGGAGGGTGAACCAACGGCAAAAGGAAGACCTTTCTCTCTCTGTCTCTCTCTCACTGTCCACTCTGCCTGTCAAAAAAAAAAAAAAAAATCTACTCCCCATAATTCAAACTTGGTGAAACCAAGAGGGATGAACTGATATGACCTCCCAAGGTCCAACAGCTGGGAAAGGTAATGGCTCTTGAGATAAATATCAATGAGCAAAGGGAGAATCAGGCTATGGTCCATATGTCACCTGATGGATGGTTGGACACATCGCCCAGCCACCATGGCACAGAGCCTTTGTCCCGAGAAGGATTACTGAACATGGCCACACAGGCCACAGCTGGAAACCTGAGATCCAACATCTGGAGATTGGTAATAAGCTCAGCCTTGAGGCTTCAAAGGAAGGCTATGTCCTGTGCTGGGTCTGACAGCGATGTCGTTGAGATGAACATGCATGCACTGGGCCATTTTTCAGGGTGAAGAAGGTGATTGTAGCAGAAACAACAGTGACAGCAAGAGGAGGATCTTCTGTAAACAAATCTGATTCTTTTCTTTCTCTGTCCCTCATTGAATTGAAAAAGCTCCTAGCGTTCTAAACCAATATGGGGTGGGAGAAAGAGCCTCAGAAGGCATCACTAGGGGCCAGTGCTGCGGCACAGCAGGTTAAGCCTCCTCCTGTGGCATCAGCATCCCATATGGGTGCCGGTTTGAGCTCCAGTTGCTCCACTTCCAATCCAGCTTTCTGCTGATGGCCTGGGAAAGCAGCGGAAGATGGCCTAAGTGCTTGGGCCCCTGGCTCTTGGCTCTGGCCTGGCCCAGCTCCAGCCCTTGTGGCCATTTGGGGAGAGAACCAGCAGGTGAAGGATCTCTCTCTCTCTGTCTTTCCCTCTCCCTGTGTGTGTAATTCTGCCTTGCAAATAAAAAGGTAAGAAAAGTCATCACTAGATTTCCTGTTGATTGGGCATTCAAGCGACTACCTAGGAAAGTGTTAGTGTGTGAACTCCCACCCCCACTCTGCAGGTTCCATACCTCTGTCTCTATTTGGGACCCTTTCCTTGTCAGGATTCACAGACGAGAGATGACTGATTGGAAGGGCACGAATGGAGGTGGGCACTGTGGCACAGTGGGTGAAGGTGCTGCTTAGGATGCTGCATCAAGTCCTGCCTCCACTTGCAATGCAACCTCCTGCTGGGTCAGTCCAGCCTCTCACATCTTGGGAAGCACCAGGTAATGACTCAAGTACTTTGGCCCCTGCCACCCATGTGGGAGAGCAGGATGGAGTTTCGGGCTGGCCCAGTCCTGACTTTGGTCTGGTCCAGCCCTGGCTGTTATAGGCATTTGGGGAATGAAGCAGGGGAGGGGAGATCTAGTCAGGCTGCGAATTGAGTAGCATCAAGAAGCCAAAGATTCAAAACTGGGACCTGGAGGTGGGATTGTTAGAAAGAGTAGAAGAGCGGGCCGGCGCCGCGGCTCACTAGGCTAATCCTCCACCTAGCGGCACCGGCACACCGGGTTCTAGTCCCGGTTGGGGCGCCGGATTCTGTCCCGGTTGCCTCTCTTCCAGGCCAGCTCTCTGCTGTGGCCAGGGAGTACAGTGGAGGATGGCCCAGGTGCTTGGGCCCTGCACCCCATGGGGGACCAGGAAAAGCACCTGGCTCCTGGCTCCTGCCATCGGATCAGCGCAGTGCGCCGGCCGCAGCGCGCCAGCCGCGGCGGCCATTGGAGGGTGAACAACGGCAAAGGAAGACCTTTCTCTCTGTCTCTCTCTCTCACTGTCCACTCTGCCTGTCAAAAAAAAAAAAGAAAAAAAAAAAAAGAAAAAGAAAGAAAGAAAGAAAGAGTAGAAGAGCAGCCAGAGACTCCACATCTATCAGATGAATTCATTGGTGAGAACCGAAACAGGTTAAGGAATGAAATTAGAAGCCTTAGATCCTGAAAACCTGCTTCATGGATGTTGACTTCTACCCAGAGCCACTCCACGGTGAGCATAACTCACTTAAACTAAAAACCTGAAAGGTGTTTTATGCCGACAAATAAAGTGCAATTTAACACAAAATTGTCAATAATTTTTATATGAAACGCATTTGGAGCATAAATACTCTTGATCCTTTATAGTCATGACACACAAGCTTTTAGTCTTGCTCATGGTTAAATCATTGCATGAGCCTGGACATGTCTCAGAATCTTAGTAACCTTGGCTTTCTTATTTATGAGATACAATTATGGCTGGTTTATGGCCTTGAGGGCAGTGTGGTTTGTGAACTGGGTGTTTGAGTTCAAGTTTAGATGTGGTGTTCCATGGTCAATCCCAAGCATCACCTATGATCAAGGTCTAACCTCCGTGTGTCCAAAATTATATAACAGGTAGAATTGAATGGCTTGTGCTTTTGGTCTAGTGACATGGAGATATAGTTAATAATAGCCTGTAGTCAAGATTTGTAAGATATTAATTTTAATGCGATGCAAACCCCATGGAGAGTAAAGGACAAAGAGAACTTTAAAAGAAGATGCAGGAAATAATAAAATGGTATTTAATTTGGACATGTGCCCCCAGTGCATCTGGAGAAAAATCAACAAAGTGCAAATATCAGTGGGAGAACACGAAAGATGAGCCCCAATTATTCTAAAAGACAGGGACAGGAAATTAGACTGGAATTTGCAATGTTGTTTTGGGCCACAGGGGTGGCCTTCTGTGCCTGCAGAGGGAAATGAGATTTATTTCAGAATATTCAGATGGAATTGTAGCTTAGCTGAGCCTGAAATCGGTCCCGAGTCCTCTGATGGTTGCAGAGATTGCCGTGTTCTGCAGGTTAGTCCACCCGCGAGGAGGCGGGGCTGCAGAGGGATGAGCTGGTGGTCACACGTCTTTGTGGGATCTTCGCCATTGACCAGCTGGGGTGTTTAATGTTTTAATTGTCTGACCTTAGGTTCTGCTCAAGAAAACAGAAGGAAGAAAGTCTTCCTTTCAGGATTGTTGCAAGGACTATCGAAAAAGTATAAGTTGTTCCTGGCACGTGGGATTGATTGAATAATCGTCAGCCAGTAGCAGCCGCAGAAGTAGAAATGGAGGCTCACTTCTGAGTTTCCAAGCTCCACCTATCATAGAGTCCCACAGTGCTGATATATGCACCTTTGTTCACCAACAGCCAGTGGAAACTAAAATTGTTAAATTAGATGGGCTAACAAAACAGGTATGGGGAGGTAATCAGCTGTTTCGTTGTAACTATATTTACATAGTGCATGTGATCTCCTTGCTGGCCCACACAACCAACCCCACCAAATACAGATCCATGTTCAGAGTTTCTTCATCTTCTACATGTATTTATTCATTTGAAAGGCGGAGACAGAGAAAAGAGACAGATTTCCCATCTTCTGGCTCACTCCCCAAATGACCACCACAGCCAAACTAGGCCAGGTCAAAGCCAGGAGCCAGGAACTGAATCCAGGTCTTCCCAGTTGGGGGCTGGGACCCAAATACTTGAGCCATCCCCTACTACCTCCCAGGATGCACATTAGCATGAAGCTAGAATCAGAAACAGAGCCAGGACTCAAACCCAGGCAACTCCAATATGGGAGGGGGGTGTCCCCAGCAGTGCCTTGACCACTACATCTAATGCCTGCCCCTGAGTTTCTTATAAAGCTTGATAAAACCAAATCTAGACTATCTCCCGCTTTAATCAATGTATTTTACCAGTGGCAAAGTAGAGCCCATTCTTGGTATTTTATTTCTGCAGATTAGGATGTGATGCAGAATAAATTCATACTTCAGTTCTTTTTTAAAATGTAGTTTCAGTTGATAATTTTAATTCCAGGCTTTGCCAATTATTTTGCATATGTATTTATATCATAATTTTAGCCCACGCTTGCTGTGAATGGTGTTAACAGAAGCCGTCAGAGGCAGAGGCCCTGGACCTCCATTAAGACACTCAGTAGCGCTGGCGCCACGGCTCAATAGGCTAATCCTCTGCCTTGCGGCGCCGGCACACCGGATTCTAGTCCCGGCTGGGGCACCGGATTCTGTCCCAGTTGCCCCTCTTCCAGGCCAGCTCTCTGCTATGGCCCGGGAGTGCAGTGGAGGATGGCCCAAGTGCTTGGGCCCTGCACCCCATGGGAGACCAGGAGAAGCACCTGGCTCCTGGCTTCAGATCAGTGCGGTGCGCCGGCCGCAGCGGCCATTGGAGGGTGAACCAACGGCAAAGGAAGACCTTTCTACTCAAGAGGGGGCAGTTGCTAAGAAACAGGAACCCACCTGCCACTCACCTGGAGCACCTGCCACTCACATTGTACTGTGTTCCCAGCTCCAGTCTTCAAGCCAGCCAGCCTAGCCTTTGCAGGCATCTGGGGAGGGAATCAAAAGATAGAAGATGTCTCTGCTTCTCTGCCTTTCCAATAAATGCTTCTTAATTTTTGAAAATAGTATAAAAGTAGAGAGAAAGTGAAAAGAATTTGTAATAAAATTTAAAGAAATAAATAAAAACCAGGAAGCCACTGAGGAAACATCCCTGATCCTGATACCAAAGTTAGCAAGGGGATCTGCTGCTTGTGTTGCAGTCTTAACAGCCAAAACATCAGCTGTGCTCACCAAAACCTACGAGATCCTGAATGTGGATGAGTGGTATTGAGGAAATCGGAAGGAGCGGTAGAAGAAGGCAGGATTTTACCTCCTTGACTTCCCTTATTCATGCACTTTGCACGGAGAGATATTCATTGGTACTAGCTTGAGTCTCTGAGTTTGGCATGAATTTGGGTTCTGTATGCTGTTGACTTTCTAGGAATAAGTCTGGATCTCTAGTCCTTCTCTAATTAGTCATGATGTTGGGTGATTCTTTGCCCTTGACCCTCTGACTTCATTGTTTCCAGGTGACATGGTGCTGCCCTTGGGTCACAGTAGTTTTTGGAGAGCCGTAACACGGAAGCCTCTAATATAGAGAAAGTAAAAAGGCTAAAACTGAGCAGTGAAGAAGAAACATTAAAGAGGCAGGGAAAATGGAATTCAGAATTTGTAAGTGATCGCTCACTTTTCAAAAATGGGCAAAAAGGGCAGGGTTTTAGCATAGCAGTTAAGATGCCTGCATCCCAGGTCAGGAGCACCCAGGTTCAATTCCTGGTACCAGGTCCTAACTCCAGCATCCTGGGAGGCAGCCATAATGGCTCAAGTGACTGGATTCCTGCTACCCACACAGGATACCTGAGCTGAGTTCTAGGCTCTGTCTTCAGCCCAGTCCAGCCTGAGCCATTGTGGGCATTTGGGGATTGAATCAGAGGATGGAAACTCTCTTTCTTCCTCTCCTCCCCCCATTCCCTCTGTCAAATAAACAAATAAATACAATTTTTAACTGGCAAAAAAAATTGAAACCAGAGTAGAGAATTTAAAGAAATTCATGAGTGGTAGCAATTTTAGCCAGGTTGAAAGAAAAGTATTGAACTTCAAAGAAAAAGAACGTTCAAAGTGATGAACATGAGACCCCTCCAAAATGTGGAAGGAATTATGAGTAGAGCTACAAATGCGAAGTGACACTAGATGATGTCTAAAAAAGAAGTGGGTTCAAAGAAAGGTTCACACACAGAGATAAAAAATACTTTCATAGTTTGCTTTTCCTGTGGTCTGCTTTAGAATTCACCCCAAAACCAACAGTTTTTGTGGTTATTCAAATTTCATTTCTCTTCCCATGACCTCCTACTGTCTATTCTGTGGTGGCCGGCATTTGGACAAAATAAAAGAGAGGAAGTGAAATTTAAATCACTTGATTTTATCCTTTTTTTTAGTCCTTTTTGGCTAAGAGATGTGAGGGAGGAGATATGCTTGTGGCTCGTGTGGTTTGTAGGATGTGTGGGTGTTTTGGTTTGGTTTGGTTTTCAGCTACTGCACTCACTATTACCCCAGTTTCCCACATCAAGTCCTGTTTGGGCACCAAAGAGAAAGACTCAATAAACATTTGGTAAACGATTTGACTCTGCTTTGCTTCTTCACCTAAATATTCTTCAAAAGAGGCTTAGCAATTCCCCAACACAAAACCTTTGCTGAAGTCTGATTAATCCACATGTCAATAACATATTCAATGTGAATTGGATACACACTGCTCTAAAGTTTGTGTCAGCATGTCAATGATAATGTAAATAAGAGGAATTCTAAACAACTCCACAGGCTAAGCTGTTTTCAAGCATTTTAGCAGAAAATATTTACATACCAAAAATAAACACATGTAGTACAAAAGGCATTTCTCAATTCATGAAAGCAAGCAGGCAGGAGACCCAACCTGGCATCAATGGAGGCACTTCCTTAGCTATGAGTCATAGTATCACATCTACATATTAGTTCCAACAGGGCATTCTTTTCACGATTGTTCATATTGATCATTCACTAACCTGAACTAACTTTCAATCAGTTAAGTCTGAGTAAGTGAATTTTTTTAAAGATTTATTTATTTATTTATTTGAAAGGCAAAGAGAGAGAAAGAGAGAAAGTCTTCCATTCGCTTGTTCACTCCCCAAATAGCCACAATAGCCAGAGCTGTGCCAATCCGAAGCCAGAAGCCAGGAGCTTATTCTGGGTCTCCCACATGGATAGGGGCCCAAAGACTTGGGCCATTTTCTACTGCTTTCCCAGGCCAAAGCAGAGAGCTGGATCAGAACTGGAGCAGCCAGGACTCAAACTGGAGCCCACATGGGATGCCAGCACTGCAGGTGGCGGCTTTACCTGCTACCCGCACCGGCCCTGAGTAAGTGAAATTTTGAAAAGACTTACTTATTTATTTAAATGCAGAATGATGGAGAGAGAGATTGTCCATCCACTGATTCACTCCCTAAAAGGCCACAACAGCCTGATCTGGGTCAGGCCAAGGTCAGGAGCCAGGAACTCCATCCTGGTTTCCTACATGAATGTTCAGAGATCCAAGTACTTGGGCCATATTCCACTGCCTTCTCAGGAGCATTAGCAGTAAGCTGGATCAGAAGTGGAGTAGCTAGAACTAGAAACTGCACTCCAGTATGAATGCCAGCATTGCACGTGGCTTAAGCTGTTGCATCACAATGCTGGTCTCAAGTAAGTATAATTTTGTTATGATTTACTAAACTGTATAACAAGGCCAAACAAGGTTATGTTCACTTAATATTGTCTGCTTCTTTGGCCTTGTTTATTCTGGGACATGTTGGGGAAGATGCAGCAAATTTCTGTCCAGCCAGATAACGCAGGGGCTGAATTAAAAAGGCAAGGGTCGCAAGGCAGGGAGGGTCACACATGTGACTGGAAGGAAGAGAAGAGATCTGAGAAGCTGGAAATCCCACCTCGGTCTGGAAAGTCTTTGCACTTAGGATGTGGCTTCCAGCTCCCTCCTAACAAGGAATCTGAAGTCCTTTCCAGGCCAAGCATGCCCCCTTCCCTGGGAGAAACTCACCAATCAGCATGCCTCTGGGAAGACTCCTCAGGTACTGTCCCCAAAGGACCCCCCCCCCCACCTTGAGTGTTCTTGGAGAACTCCAGCTTCTCTAGCAAAGCATATACAGGAGCTGTTCAAAAGGGTCTGAAAATGCGTATTATGAAAAAACGATGCATGGATTTCTAAATTGCTTTACATCAAAATAAACTTATCTTCCAATTTCATCTTCCCATAGACATTTTCAAGTGTCCTTGGGTCTCTTGCCTCTAACCTTGATGACATGCATTGCTTCAAAGTTATTGAAAGGTAAGCCTTTTTTTTCCTCGAAAAACTGAAAAGCAGCAAAGAGAAAAAAGACATAGAGTGTATTCCAATAGCCCCACAACTACAAAGACTGTTTCCCTGTGACTTCAATCTGTTGAGTTCACGTCTGCCTTCTGAAGGGCGGACAACTCTCTACCCCAAATTCTATTACAGAACTTGTTCAACTTTCACCAAGATACATTTTAAGAAAAGTCTCATGGAAACATAAAATGATACATATGGCAAAGGCAATCCACATCAGTATAGGACTGATAAACATGCATGACTCAGAGGAGCAATTGTCTTCTACATACTTCCTATGGTTAATATGATTAAATCCTTGGCCTCTGAATCGCCTCCTCTGATGTTATCTATTCTCTTCTTCTCTTCACTCTTCTTTTTTAAAAATACTTATTTTATTTACTTGAAAGGCAGAATTACAGAGAGAAGGGGGAGAGGTAAGTAGAGAGAGAGACAAAAGGGAAAGAGAGAAACAGGGGGGTCTTCCATCTGCTAATTCACTCTTTAAATAGCCTCAGTAGCCAGGGCTGGGCCAGACTGAAGCTCGATCCAGGAGCTTCTTCCTGGTCTCCTGCGTGGGTGCAGGGACCCAAGGACTTGGGCCATCCTTTGCTGCTTTCCCAGGCACATTAACAGGGAGATGGATTGGAAGCAGAGCAGCCAGGACTCAAACAGGATGCCAGCATTGCAGGCTGCAACTTAACCCACTGTTTCACAACACCAGCCCCCTCTTCAATCTTCCTGAGAGGACCCTTCCAGGCATATTTCTCCACAATCCTACCACCAATGTCTGAAGAAGTCAGGCCAGTGAAGCACAAAAACAACTTCACATGCAATTAATCAAGCACCAAATATGCCACAATCTCCTTCTTAGCTCAGCACTCCCAGAGAGAAGAACAGGGAGTATGAGCTCAGTTCTGACCCTGACAAAGCAACTGAGTTCCAGTTTCACACATTCACCATTCATCTGCCCAATCTCTTCCCAAGCCGTTCTTGGCTTCTTCATTTATTCTTATCTGGTTTTTCCTGACCCTAAATTGCCAAAGAAGCTAAATTCATTTCTGGAACTCCTCTTTCCACCACAAATATAAATAAAAGAATATGATTGTATCTAGTTGTTCTTTTAAATGTGCAAAGCAATTTGATTAATAGGTGGAATAAAAATTGGCCAGCTTAAGTGATCTTAATGAAGATTAATTCCTATTTTGAACACTGAATCACCCCAGTGGGCCATTGTGTATGTAAGTGTACCCACAAAGTTGGTCAGTTAAGTAGGCAATGCCTAAAGCTGTAGACACACTCTCTACATGGCATGAATCTTTATTCCTTTGTTTAGTCTACAGCAAGAAGCCAACTGCCTTACTTTCGTCCAGAAGGGAAATGTTGAGATATTGTGCAAATATAAGCAGTTTTCCAAGCTTCAGGAAATTTGAACTGAAACATTGACTGGAAAGAACCCACCGTGTTCTTGCATGTTGAACTGTTGTTTAAATCCCTTTTCACATGTGCTGAGCTCATACCCAAAATGTTTTGACTCCACACGCATGAGGACTTGGCAAGGGCCTGGAAGGAGGAGTGCCCTGTCACGGGAAACAGGAGGAAAAACAAGGCCAGCAAGCATATTCTCTCAGAGCACGG